TCCACTGGGTCCCAACCGGACGCGGCCCATCACTTTTACCATTTCCACATCTGTGGGGAGCGTGCCAAACCCTCCACTGTGCATGCTGCCAACCCAATCGCACTCTGCCACATCATAAATCGAGAAGCTTACTCCATATACTACCAGAGGTCGGCACGTGGCACAGTGGCACATCGGCACATTGGCAAAGCAACCTCAGATTCTCATCTCCAATAACACTTTACCAACTTATTGTACACAACATTAATGGAGACATTAGTTTTTTTCTCCGATTTTAAATCATTTTAAATTAATCTAATTTATAAAGAGAAAAATCAAATTTCGGTGAAAAGAGCTCACTATTCTGATTAATTGATTTAACCCACGTATACTAGATTGTAATTTTTAATTACCAATTAATTAGAGAAAACAAATAAAATACAAACACGGCAACTTAAATTTAGTGTAATAACTTTGTGACTCTAGCATTATTCCATCATCTTGAGAGTCAACTTTAACGGTAGATCGGGGTCCCCAATACAAGACATGGGTCCTATACTATATCAATATGTCGGTACACAATAGTGTAAGGTGATGATCAAGCATGTATTTTGAAAGCCCACTTACCAAATTTTTAGGTACATACATGACACACATTAGTCTTTCCACCACATCTATTTTGTTTTGCCTCGTCATTTTATCGGTCCCCTTCCTTGCCCAAAACAACCTTCTCTTAATTGAAAATAGCTTCGAGCTTGTGGCCAACACGAGTGACTCACACGCTTTTGAAAACAGTACAAAACGACAGTCGACTGTTTATCAAAAAACAATGCAAGTTGGGTGGTTTTTTTGTTATAGACAGGGATCGTGTCAGCATCCCAATTACAAGTGTTCTCGGTGGGTCCATGACACGTGTAAAAGATAGATTGCGAAGTCAGGGTATGAATATCCAATTCCTAGATTAGCTCCACAAAAGGCACATAAGCAAGTGTGTAATTACGGAATAAGAACATGCTGCTAGTTACATTAATTTGTTTTCCGTCCAAACTTACTCTGAATCATGTTGGTTCAGAAAGCCTAAAATATTTTCACTCAAAAATTCATGCGACAAATTGGTATTCGTAGTATTATTGTTGTTTTGTAAGCTGCTCTCCACTTTGTAGTTGGGAATTGGGACCTACAGAATAAACTATAATTATAATATGCAAGTGGCATATCATATGTATGATGTATGTGAATAAACCAAGCAAAGTGCATGATTCTCGCACGTAAAGGATAAGGAGATAAAGGTGGATATGCTCAGCAACTTTTGAACTATTGTGCAAAATTATTATTATTATTAAGATTTTTTTTTTTTGTCAACATTATTATTAAGAATTTGGAAACATGGTATAGAGGAAGGTGGGAGATAGATAGAGTTTGATATATGGCTAGAGTAGGAGGACCCCATTGACATGTTCATCTTTCAAATTGAAAGATAATTGCATGACATAATCAAGGAAAAGGACAAGGGATTAGAGGATTTTAGCAAATTTTAAGTCTAGTCTCTAATGAGAGGTTATCCTAAAAGAGCAGATAGATAGTGTGTGTTCGGATAAGGAATTGCATGACCTTTCTATCGAGTTGTCATTTGTCAATGATACATATCTTTTGGACTTGCCTTACAGTTTCATTTCCAAACTGCTTACTTTGATTATGATTTATTTATTTATTTTTATTTTTTGGGGTAAAGATCGAGATTCTAATGTGATGATTTCTTACGTATTCTAAATGGAACCTCACTCTTAATTGCCAGAAGAGACTGATGTGATGATGCATGACAATGGTCCTATGTTGCAATTGATCGTGCTTGTATTTATGTTCAGGTGTATTGTCCATTTGCTATTTGAAAATGTTATTAGATCCAAGGATGAAAATATCTGCGATATAGATATTATTCGGCCTTCAATTTATAGATATTTTGGGGGATATATATATATATCCATAAATTGAAGGCCTGATTATATAAGATATGCATATGATGAAATGTACATGTATATAATGCGCGATGAAAATCTTGAAAATAAATACAATTAGACTTAACACAATGAAGACACCATTATCCAAACATAACCCAACCCTACCCATTAATGCATAACCCAACATTATATAGGCTTAATGATAACGGAAATGAGAGATGGAAGATTGGGTGAAAAATAAAATCAAACACACAAGAAACCAAGCGACAGAGAGAGGAGAGGATGAGCCAAAGATAGCAGAAATGATTGAGAAGAAAAAAAAGAAGAAGAGAAGTTACTAAATGTTAGAGTTTGGTTTTTGACATTGTGACATTGATTCAATGGCTGGGACCTATGATTACTTTCAAAATTAAAGACAAATTTCTGGGTTATTTGTTTGGTATCAAGAAATATCAATAAATATTGAGAATATCGGGAGTTATCAGGGATATATTGCAGATAAGGGGGAAGAAATAGGCTAACCCCCCTGTATCTGTATTGACACCTAAAAAAAGGGATATATCGACCGATATTTTCATCCTTGATTAGAACCTAAATTAATATTATAAGAAATAATGAAATGGAATGCAGCTGTTTCATACTCATGACTGCATGTTCGTTCTCATAAACTCCAGAAAAACTTTCCTTATCTGGGTTTCATTATCCTTTTCTTCTTATCTTTCTCCTCATTTTGTAAAATTTCAAAGAGACGAACTTCTATGTAATCTTAACATATTTTACTTATTAAATGAGGAGAAAAATAGAAAAAAAATAAAGCAATAAAACGAAAGAAGCCCGAATAAGGTATGCCATGTTTAGGAGGGACCGAACTAATAGGTCGGTCTGTTGTCATGAACCGAGCTAAAGCTTACCTCAAAAACCCTAAAACAAAAATATCTGTCTCTAGCAAGCAGACCTACAGATTGTTTCAAATACGACCAACATTACAATGAGGAAGTTGTGTTAATTTGACACCACCCCCTTCCTCTCCTTTGTGAGTCTCAAGAAACCCTGAAATCGCACTTCTCCAAGAATGTGGTGAGTCATGGCTGGACCTCACAGGACCACATGGCCAGTGTGAAGAAGAAGATATACGCAGTAGTGAGTCAGCTACATAACACATACATGTGTATAGAGGTCATCAATCATTTCCGGCCATTTTGTTTAGCAGGTCGACAAAAGCATCTCAGTCTTCTCTTCTAAAAAGTGAAAAATAGACAAACGAACAAACAAAGAAGCGTTTGTGGAGCCCATATGCCTTGCCCTTGCATATCACCGTTTTGCCAGCATGACTATGACCATGAACATGGACTTGCTGATGAAGGCATGTAAACAACGAAGAAAACCAGATGCATCAATTAGTTTTTTGAGAAGATGTATTTATTCAACAATTCTTTTTTAAACTTCAATTTTTTCCGGTGCGGACGGTAATCTACTAAAGCAGCTGATTAAAGTTGTGAAAATATAAAAAAAATAAAAATTCGTTACGTCGGTTAGTTGGAAGAAAGAAAACTTCACTGGAGTTCGATCCTGAAGGTCATAAAAGAAGGGAAATTCATCACTACTGTAGTGGGAACCATTGGCGAAATATCTTTTATGCTTCGAATTATCTTTCCAGGTAATGATAGACAGTACTCGTCCACATTCACATACGAGGTAACGACCAAACGAGAGTGAATTATAAAGTGCTCCATATGCGTACAAACAAAAGTAACAGATGGACAAAGAAATGAGAAAATGGAGCACAAAACGACAAAACATCGTTAACTACGGTCGACCCTATTCTTAGTATTCTTAGGGATGGGAGAGTTTTTATTTTTATTTTTTTAATATATATATACAAGTCATATTGAGAGAATGGAGATCGAACACCGAAGTTTGGATAATTCTTCTTAATTAATAGAGCTGCAAGTTAAGAAATTATTGTATAATATTGGAATACAACCATATGATATAATCAGACTAATTGTTATCAAGATCTAAAATATCGATGGTATTAGAAATATCGGTAGTCTAAAAACACAGAAATTTTGATGGAAATATCGGAATATTATCGATATCGATAAAAATTGAATAAAAACCATGGAAATTGTAAGAAAAACTTGAAATTTTTTATTGAAACTTTGGATGATATTTATTTAGTCAATTATTTATTAGTTTATCACAAAAAATTGGAAGGAAATGCATTGCATGATGGGTTTAACTGATTTAAGTTGATTATATAGCGAGCTGACAAACATTGTGAGTGTAGAAAATATGTAGTAATTAAAGAAAGAAGATTAAACACACCATAATCATTTATATATAATGATTTACTATAATATTTTACACTTATACATTGCATGGTAAAATACATGAGTGACTTAGTACCACATAGAGTTTTTATGAAATTCAAAATTTTCACTATCTTTATGTGTAGAGTAAGTGTATTATGAAGAGTAATCATCAAATGATAAATTCCCAAAATAGTTTTGCATGTAATTGTTAACATGTCACCCGTATGAATATGAGATTGGTTAACGTTGTCTATAAGGAAAATCATTTGAAGATTGGGTTTCGGATTCTTTTCATGAGCCGCTCGATTCTATCTCAAAAAGGAAAGGTCAAATACTCACATTCTCATGTGAAAATCTAATTCTTGCAGGAAAACAAAACAATATAAATGTACATATTTTAGCATATTATTACAAAAAACATAAATAACATGGTGGTTAAGGCGTGGGAGGAGTGAAATGCTAGAGGTTTGAATCCATCTCTTTTCTTTTTTCATTACATCGATATTTTTGATATAGTCGATATTATCGATATTTTAGACTATGATTGTTATAACAACATGTGTTAAGATTTTTCACATTGAAATATAATCTCAAAAAATATTTATATAATTATACTCCTTTGCTATAATTGCTCACATTGTTGGGAGAGTCTAAGATAACGTTTCTGCGTACAACCCGCGTTAAAGCTGAGTAACCATCAGTCTTTAAAAAAGTTATTAAAAAAATGGAAAGAAAGAAAGGAAAAAAAAAAAAAAAAAAAAGGCTGACCAACCAATTCTAGTTACTTTACGCTTGCCCTGCCCCTTAAAGAAGAAATGAACTCTATAAATAAAGGGCAAAGTGTACCATACATAGGCTTGAGCACGCAACTCATAGTCTCCAACACTCCTTCTTCTAACCTCTCTTCCCAACTCTTCTTCTAAACCAAACCAGACCCAGAATGGTAGGACCCTCGCTTGACCCCACCAAGCCCTCCACCATCAAGTTCCTCTGCAGCTACGGCGGCAAAATCCTCCCCCGTTATCCCGACGGCAAGCTTCGTTATCTCGGCGGCGAAACCCGCGTCCTCGCCGTCCACCGCAACATTTCCTTTTCCGGTCAGTTGACTCCCGTTTACTCTGTTTCTTTATGACATCCTCGATGATATATAAAGAGTACATAGGATTGATTGACTGATTTGTTGTGGTGTGGTGTGTTTACAGAGCTGTTGTTGAAGCTGGGTGAGCTGTGTGGGCCCTCCGTGACCGTGAGCCTACGTTGTCAGTTGCCCGCCGAGGATCTCGACACCCTCGTGTCCATAAAGTCCGATGAGGATCTGGCCAATCTCATCGAAGAATACGACAGAGCAGCCGCCTCTGCATCTCCACCGCCTTTTGCCAATTTGAAGATCAGAGCCTTCCTTTCCCTCGTCCCTCCCAAACCATACAAAACGCCGTCGTCTACGCAGTCTTCCTCGGCCTCCGCCTCCACGACGTCGTCCTCCGGCACTTCCTCCTCGTCTAACTACTACTACAGCGCTGCTGCTTCCGGGTCCACTCCCAGGTTCCCCATGGCGTCCACGCCAGTTGACCGCTGTGTCCGCCAAATCTCACAGACTACAACGCCGTTTCAGAAATCAGCCGCCAAGGTTCCTCACTGTGCTAATATTTGCCATGCTCATGGAAGCCCCAGTAGTCGGCTCTATCTCATTCACAACGGCAACCACTGGCAATAACGACACATGTGACACTCTCGGAGTCTCGGACTGAGTACTATAAATATATATGCCACGGCCGGTTAAATACTACCAAACAACTCCCCTTCCCTCCCCCCACCCCACGAAGGAGAAAATACGAACAAAAAAATGAAGAAGATCAAATATCGTATAGTATTTGATCATATGATGTAATGGGATTGGCGCTATAGCTGTAATCGTTCAGATGGATTGCTTTTCAATATCCGTGGCGACTAATGAATTTCAGTCCAATTTCGTTTTTACATGTGCATGTGTTCATTCATGAATCATGGTGAGTGATTTTGTCTTTTTGCATTTCTGTTTTTCCTTTTTTTTATCTTCCAAAGTCCATTATACCATACAGCAGCCATTATTTTTGCACAACAGCTTTTTCCATTGCCGTTTTCCATCAGATGTTGCGTGCCACGTTGCACAAACGTGTCTGTGTTGTGTCACTCTGTTATGCTTTTACGTGAAACAGAGCACCTCTCTCTCTCTCTCTCTCTCTCTCATCCTCATCTCTGTTGGTTTGTAATTTGTTCCAGTTGTTTGGTTTATTTCTTATTGTTTTCTGGGAAATGGTTTTATTAAAAATCGATTCATTATTCTATAGTTTGACATTTTGACTCAGCAGGTTTATGAAAGACACTAAAAATGTAGCAAGCAGGTTGATGCTGATCGGGGAGACGGACAGAGCTTTCAATTTTTGACTCAACCAGCAGCATGTATGTAAGTTTCCTTTTTTGTGTGTGTGTGTGTGTTCTGTGTGGGATTGGATTAATTAAATAAATGCTTTCACCTTATACGAATTACAAGCATGATAACTGTAAGGTATGGTCCATGAGGACATGAATGATGGGGTAGCTTTTTTCTTGACCAGAGATTCGATCGATGGGATGGGATGGGAATGCAGGCAGAACTGGAGTCTCGAGAAACAGTGATATAGTTGGAAGCATCGGAATCTTTATTGATGGAATTGGGGAGAAAACCATAAAAATACATATGTGTCCCATACGTGACAGCTGGTGCTCGTTGCCTAGCTACTACTGGTTCAAGAAGCTGCACGTAATTAGTTTAACTAAGATATTTAAACTCTAAATATAAAAACCAACAAATGAAAATAAATAATAGAAAAACACAAATGACAGCTGCTGATAGAGATTTGAAGAGAGGCCGTCGGCAGTCCACTCACGTAGCATTCACAAGGGATGAGATGAGATTCCTTTGGCCCTTCATTTCAGATGATTCCCAATTAACCAATTAATTTATGGAAATTTAGAAAGGAGACAAATCTGAAAGGGATTTGATGGAGCGTTGTTAGGTATCCTGTGGGTAACATTTAATTAATTAAGGGATAATTAAAGTGGTTTAAGGATGATCCCATTCCTATAGGCTATACCTCTCTGCCTGCCCCCACCATGCGTGTGATCCTTTTTATCTCGTCTTTGATGAGAAATAGAAATGTGGGACTAAGATATGGATAGAGAGATCATCAACTTTGCATCGTCTTTTGACAAATGTTAAATTTCAGTAAAGAGAAGGGTAATTGGCTTACTACTAGTAACGCTGATATTGTTCCAATTGATAGTGTGTTGCGTGGAACAAAAGTGATATGTTGGATCCCACAGGCGAGAGAGAGAGAGAGAGAGAGAGAGAGAGAGAGAGAGAGAGAGCAACCAGCTTTTACTGTGTTGATCGTTGTGTGTTTGAGTGAGCTGCACTGCACTGCACCACATACAAGATGCACTCAACAACAGTGACAGCACTACGTGGTTTGCTAGGCGTGATCTCATTATGCACTCAACTCTATCCCATGGCCAATGATATCTATATACATAAGAACTTGAATCATGACGTGGTTGATTGAATTTGTAATGAGGAAATTCATAATTAAGTTGAAAAATATTTATATTGGAGGAAATAAATACATACATAAATATTGTTATGAGCTGTACTGTGTGTTATCTTCAATAAACAAAGTTTTGATTTGCAAAGAGCTTGAAATAAAAAGAGAATAAAATAGTACTAGAAGACATAAATTCTTATATGAATAATGCTACTCTTACTACATTTTTATATCACATTTATATACCACTTTATGTATCGGCTTAGGTGTTATTGACATGTTAAGTAAATAGCCACCTATACTAAAATTTCTTTTTAATTTTCAAAATGTAATTATGTTACTCAAAACTTATCACCTCTTCTTACTTACCCTCTCTCTCCCACCAACCCATCCATCGGAGGAAATTTTCACATTTAGAATAGAGGGAAGAGAAGATCTAAACTAGAGAAGTTGAGGAATTCAGATTGAAACAATAGAAAGTAATTTTCTTAGTTCAAGGTAGGGTCATTGTTTTGAATGGAGCCCCTTTGAGACTTCCTAGGAGTTGTCCACTTTACTTTGGTTCATAACAATAGATTAATAAAATTTATTTAGATCTCTTTTGGTTCATATATGAGATCTGGATTGTTGTTTGTGTGTCAAAGATGGAGTGGAGTGTAGTTGGAGCTGTTGTGGAGAGGCAAGCGTCAAACCCTAGGGTATTTTCTCGGTAGTTTTTGTTTTTATTTTTAATTTGTTGTTAACTGAAAATAAAAATTCAAATCACTTTATGATGTGGATGTCCAAATCGACTGCCACATAAAGTGGTATACAATTATGGTATATAAAATGTGGTAAGAGTAGCACTACCCTACTTATATACATGCATAGTCCTTAATAAGAAAACAATGTGTATGTGCATACCATCGAATCCCACTATCAGAATCAAAGTACTATTAAGGGTGGCTTGACATGAACTCGACTCTTGTCGGTGTTTAAGAAGACTTATGGAATTGATTTTTTTTTCTTTTTACTACAAGAATTGGACTTATTGAATTAGTCATCAATTCAACATATTCTAACTTACAAATTATCATTAGAGCCCCTAGAGAGGTGAGACTCTATTGGACTTGATTGGACTAAACTCCAATTATGTATGGTCCCAACCACCTAAGTCTCTAAACAAATTAGGGTTACTACATTTTAAGACATGCCAAGTTTGCTATTAATTCATATTTTTTTAATACAAATGATATTTTATTTTAAATTAAATTAAACTACGAGGAGGAGAATTTGAACTTGGGTGCAGAGTGGGAAGCACATGTGCTCTTACCAACTTGGCTACTATATTTACATGCCAAGTTTGCTCTTAACTTTAAACAAGTGAGATAATAAGTTTTAAAATTAGGGGTGAAAAAGTTAGTTCAAATAATCCCATAGTTTGCTTTTAACCTATATCCTACTATCTTTCTAATCTCTAGTTGTCATATTTGCACACATAATTACAAATTATCAACGAGAGCATTACAAGTTTGCAAAAGTTTAGTGCCCGTCTAGTAACGTTTTTAGAAAATGTTTTATAAGAATATTTTTAGAGAATGAAAGTAAGAAAACGAATTTGCATTTTTCAAGATTCGAGAATGTGTATGGTAGATTAATTGGAAAATAGATTCATAAAATAAAAATAGTGAAAACGTGTATAGTAGTACAATTTGAGAATAATAATATGTGAGCTATTTTTCAAGTGTATTTTTGCTAATGTCTATTCTAAAAAAATAAATAAATAAATAAGCTGTTATAAAACTGAATAGAGAAAGAGGTAAGAGTAGTTCTTAATAGCTCAATGCTCAAGTCACTTATTCATCTTTAGTGCCTACTATTTATAGGCATAGGAAATACATCACCATTTACCACCCTTAAGTAGTGGGTTACAAAACATAATAACCAATGATAAATATGATATTTAGTGCATATGTTACAACCCTATAATGATAGGTATAATGATGGGTATAATGGAGGAAATACAATGGACTTATGGTGGGCATCCATAACCTTTGAGGTTACAACACTCCCCCCTGGATGTTCACCATGCATGGAGTATGCCTCGTTAAAAACCTTGTCAGTAAAACCCAGTGGGACAAAAACTGGTCGAAGGGGAAAAAGATTGCATAACCATGTGTAACATAAAATTGTGTGCATATAACACTGACATGCGTGCGACACTGCCTCGTTAAAATCTTGCTAGGAAAAACCCAGTGGGACAAAAACCTGGACGAAGGAAAAAGAGTACAGTGTGTGAAGATCTTATTGATGGCACGCTCCCCCTGATGCTCACAAAATATCTTTAAGCTATATTGTTGACCATATTTTGATTGTCATAATTGGCATTGCTTCCATGAATCAATCTTGCAATATTATTGGATGATCCCCTTGAAGAATTACTCCTCTTGATGTCTTTATACTTCTTTGGTAATCCAACATAAATGATATTGATCACACATCCATCCTTCACAGAGTGATTTTTGGTAATGCTTGTATAAAAATTTATTCAATATCATCATTGGAGGATATATGCGTGTCATTCTTTTGAATCCTTGTTGAGGTTAGAGTAATACTAAAAATATCTAGACTATTTTCAAAAATTAACAATTCTTAAAATAACATCATATTCTAAAATATCATCAAAATAATAATATAAGAAAATTCATACGTTACCGTTACAAAGATAAGAGTATAAAATTGCATGATGTAATATACTATTCATACAAATTTTTGTATACAATGCTAGCTTGTCATAGGCTCTTCAGGAGACCTAAATATTCTGATAACTAATTTTAAAAATTTGAATACGTTGCAATAATTTTGAACTTGAATTCGAATTCATAACTCAGTCAATACCCTCACTTGAGGCAATTAGATCATTTTCATTTCATGAAAATTGAGTATAGACATTGAGCTTCAGGCTCCTTAACTTCTTAGTGATTTACTTTCAATAATTTATATAATGTATGACATTTTACATCTCTTAGAATTTATTCCTATGTATTCTTCAAAAGATCGCTTCTAGCGATATGCTTAACTTCATAATCTTTTTAGATTTTTCAGCTCCAATTCATTTATTAAATCAGGGGAATCCTTTGTAAACTCTTCAAGAGTTCTAACAAAATTCTTCATATATATATATATATATATATATATATACTGCAATGATGGTAAACTCATTTCCAAATTATTTATATATTCCTTTTGTAATAGATATTCATTAAGATGATTATATCATATTCTTCCACAATACTTTAATCAACACAAGGATCATTACAAGTCATCATATTTTAATCATTTGCTTCAGGCATTCTGAATCCTTCATGAATTTTTATACACATGAATTTTCCATAAATATGCATAACATAGCTGCATATGTTTACCATCATAATCCCATATCTTTACTGGGAAACGTTGTGCCATATTATCAAGTGATTTATTTCACTTCATCTCAAACACCAATTCGTAACATATACATTTTTATATCCTTTTGGTGTTTTAACTATAGGTTCAATCATTGCACTTTTTTCGAAAATATCCAAATTTACTAGACTGCCTCTTCCAGTTGACCAATCTTTATTTACATTTGTCGACAATTATAACAAGTGGTGCAATATCATCATGTATAGCCCTTGATAACTTTAGTACGTACTACAAACCAATATATCATCAATTCATGATCCCACGATTCTAATGTGCATGCGCATGCATAATTTATAAGCATCTCATTGTTTTCATTATTTTCTGGTACCAGTGCCACTTCAGAGGCTTTCATTGTCACTTCATGGACAAATATCTCTTCTAAGATGTAAAATTTATAGAATGTGGATCATAACCTCTTCTAGAGCGTTATTTTGAATAGAGCTTAAACTTTGCAATTAATCTCATCTTCTGGGGAGTTAAGTCTTTTGAACCTATAGATCTGTCATGCTTCAGGCATCTAACAGCTTTTATGGGGAGTTCAATTTTTGCAATCTAAAAATCTATCATGCTTCAGGTATGCAACAAATTGGCTATTAGTAGTCACTTACTTTGTGTCTGTATATGCTTCTTGTCATTTGACTTACAATCTTTTTTGTGTTTGAATATGTTTTTAGCATTTATCTTCTATACGAATTTGTTTTCTGAGACAATAATAAATACATTTCATAATCATTCACGGCGTTCTTTGTTCTTTCAGGAACAACTAAATCTCCCTCTAACGACGGGAATTTTGGTCTCATCAAAATAATACCAAGAATGTCATAAGTATTGTCATTCGGGGACCTTAATTCATGTCATAAGTATTGTCCTTCAAGAACCTTAATGCATTCGGCGTGCATCATATTAATATTGACATATTAATGCGTTGTCCTTCTGGGACTTTAATTTATGCAGTGTATTATCAATGTATTCAACTTGCAATCTTCAGAATTTGCACTGTATTTAATCATTTAGAAATAGATACATATCAGGATGATTCAAGCCTTTCCTCTAGAATGGTTTTTTGTATATAAGTCAAGTCATTCTTTTGGAATGATATTTTGTACATAATGCAAGTCGTTCTTTTGGAACACTCTCTTGTACATAAAACATGTCGTTCTTATAGAACGATTTCTTGCATGTCATTCTTCTGGAATGGTCTTATCTTCTCATTTTGTGCTTTGAACTACAGGTTCAAATTACATATAAAATTAATTAAAATTAAGAACCAAGGAACTCGAAAGTTCCAATTAGAATTTGGTTACAATATTTTGATTCCATTGTGGAAAACATGATAAATATATAATTTTTCAAAAAAATTTGATTATTAACTTCAGGTTCAATTAAAATATTATATATGTTATGCCAGAACTGCAGGTTCCTGACAATGTATGAACTGCAGGTTCTTGATAAGGTATGAACTTCAGGTTCATATTAATATTAATCTCAATAAAAATGATGAACTTTGGATATATATATTTACATATATCTGAAACTTCAGGTTCGAATACATATATCAAATTTAAAAAGGATATTTGGTTTTGAACTTCTGGTCCAAATTTGTATTAATATGATGTTTTTCAAGGTAATAAAATAAAATGATAATAATAATAATAATAAATTAGAAAATCTGAAGTCCAAACAATGTCGAAACTTCAAGTTCTTAGCATGATGTATAGTTTTCAACCCAAAATCATAATATATATGCACTTGTTGAAATATCAATTTGAAAGTTGACACAATTAGAACTTCAAGTTCTAGAATTTTCATTTAAAAAAAAAAATTAATGCACATGCGGCCGAAACTTACAGTTTGGATTAGACATAATTAGAACTTTGGGTTCTAAGATTTTTGAACTTTAAGTCCTTAATTATAAATTATTGAAATGAAAACAAATAACTGAATACAAGAAGAAAAATAAAATAATAATAATAAAGATACTGTAATAAAATAAACTATTGGAACTTCTGGTTCCAGTTAAAGAAAATCAAAGAACTCCAG